CACTTTTTCCTATTGCTTTAAGTTTTTGGTCTTCTGAATATAATACTTTTGTTTTCCCTATTGGTCCCATGTCAATCACTTTAAGGGATGTTGGGGCCCTGATAAATCTTCACCTTTGGGCGACACCAATTTTTCTTGGTATTTTGATTTCTGGTGTTGCCCCAAAATTTGACAAAAACTCACCGAGTCCTATTCAAGCTTGCAAAGCTGTTATAATCACTCAAACGCTGAGCCTTCCCACGCTGAGCGTGTGGCCTTTTTTCAGATATGGCTTTGTAAATATATTCTGTGTGTGCCTAGTTTGAAGCCTTCTATGAGCTATTTACCCATAGCGCACGAATTGGTGCGTGGTAGGCCTTTGAATTTGTGTTCCTTCTTTTTGGCTGCCCTCTATAGAGGCATGGCTTCTCTTCAATTTCAATTGAAGAATGGTGCATCTCCCACTGGCAGTGGGCTTCTTTGGTTCACTCAACTGTGGTTGAGAGCCTATTTTTTGTCACTTGGTGCTCTACCTATGTCCCTTCATTCTGCTAGCTGCTATGGGCCAGCCATTGACCCATTGAGCCCTGTAAATATGTCCAGAAGGGACATTTTTCATTCTTTTATACTTTAAATTCAATTTCTTCATTCTTTCCTTTTCCTGCTCATTTAACTCCAGATTATATGCAACCTCTATCCACCCTGGACAGTGCCAGCGCCTCTCTGCTCATTTAGGTTCAATTTTTAACTGGGAGGGAGTTGTTCCATGATATTTTAACTGGAACCAATGCAAAAACTGGGGTTGAAATATATACTCCTCAATTTTTTGCTCGCTAACTTGGTTGTGACCAAACTTGGCCTGTTCCCCCTTGTTATTCAAAAAATTTGATAGACCGCTTTCACACCATTAATAAGGTAAAGCGCTCGCAATATTCTTTTGACGAGTAACTTTTCATTAGCCCCCTTCAATCCTAGCCTTGCCGTTCACTCCCTTTTTGAACAACTCTAGCCATTAGTGAAGCGTAGATTGTTTGCAATTGATGCCAATCGTGCTTTCCATTCACTGGATCAGCCGAACATTCCTTCCACTTCTCTTATTTTGGTCACTCCCGTGTCCAGTAGGAATCCTTCCTCCCCTGCTCGTGCTAAACAATCTGTTCGTCCCTCTACTTCTCTACCTGCCAAACCTACTGCAGCTAAGAGTGCCCCAAGCCGCAAACGGCCAGCTTTAGCATCTCCCATTTTGGAGGATGATGATGATGATGACACTCCTCTCATCGTCAGGAGAAAAGTAATTGAATTCTGTTTACTCACAAGCATACCATTCTATGTGCTAATGGTTTTGCTAAATTTCTCAGAAAAGTTCAGCCTCTCCTTTGAAGGCTTTGGTGTTGGCAGCTCCTACTCCATCATCCTCTACTGGAGCTGCTTCGTCCAAACCAGCTGATGAAGGGACTACGCTTAAAGAGAAACCTTCAGTCCCGGAACCTTCATCACAACCAATGGATGAGCCACCTCCTTCCCAGGGCGCCGACCTCCTGAACGTCAAACCAGAAGGTAATACATTTTTTTATATTTTACCTTTGTTTGTGCTATTGGTTTCTGATTTGTTACTTCTTTAATCACGCAGACACTCCCATGGGTCTGCCCGTTGTGGCAGAGTCTTCTCGCCTAGATAAGGGAAAGTCTCTACGAGTGGTGAGGCCACAGGTGGTGGAGCCAACTGGTGATATGCCACCTCCCAAGATTGCTGATGAGGTAACCTTTTGCTTCACTTTTATTTTCACTTTGTTTATTGTAGTGAAAACCTTCAATGTTGGCATTTTTCTTTGCAGGATGCTGATGAGATTCTGCGTTCCATCTAGGACTTTTTCACTTCCTGGGGGCAAGTCAAGACGTCTCGCCCTACTTCAAACGGTCGTCCTTTTGCTTCTTCAGAGGAAGATATGAAGTTCCTCAAGCAGTCGATATTTGAGTATGTATCTTTATGGACATGGACATCGATCAGGCTAGTGCTGCCAAATATAAGGATAAACTTGAGCATTTGAGTGCGAAGTTGGTGCAAGCATTGACACTTCCGTCGCTCAATATTTCTGCTGATTTTAAAGCGATGTTAAAAGTTGTCCACTCTGACATCCTCTCTTTGCTGGCCAAAAATGTTGAACTGAAGGCCAAGAGTACTCAATATCTTCGCG